AAAAAAAAAAAAAAAAAATACGGCAGTGTGTACCGTCTGTGTGTACTTTTCTTGGACTTTTCTTGAAATACGTCAGTGTGTACTTTTCTTGCACATTCACAAATAAGAAATATTTAGTGTTTTGTTCCCTAACATCACTTTTTTCTCTCTACATAGCTGTGTCAAATAATTGGTGCTACTTTTTCCGGTGTGTTTTTAATGGGTTGTGTGATGATGTATAAAAAAGAGAAATTAAGCAAACCTGTCCATATCAAAGTGGATTTTTTGATTTGTTTGTGAGGGTCTACGATATAAACTGTAAATTTTTCCAGGCGAACGCAAATCCCAGCAAATAATGTCATCATCCTGCAACACCTTTTTTTGTGAATAAACTGCACACAGCGATAGTCCTGGGGGAAATGCATTTGCAGAAGCGATGCGCACATTACCTTTCTTCCGGCTGTGAGCAGGAAAGTGCCATCGGGTGTGTAGCAAAGCGAAGTTATGGCGTGTCGGCATTCAAACAGACATTCCACGCCCGGCGAATAATCCGAATAAAATGCAACTGTAACAACGAAATTATTATTGCGCAACAACAAAACGCATGATCTTAAATTACTCGCAGCCCAATTTTTCCCATTTTTATGCGTTTTGGGCTGTGTAACAGCAGTACAAAACGCATATTGTCACGGGGTTATCTGTGTGTGTGTGTATGCGTTGTGTGTCCGCAGCAACTTGTCCGCAACTTTCAACTCGGGAACCACAAAAGCTAGGAAGCTGGAAATCTAGGAAAACGTTCCCCACTCACGTGTGACCCCGCAAATTTAAATTCAGCTTCCCCGTACCTGCGGGTAACGCGTACGGCCCCGTGAAAGTTTTTTACGGGTAAGTTAATATCTCGGGAACCACGGAGTCTAGGAGGCCGAAGTTTTAAGGTAATAACCCCCTGTCCGCGCTCAACCTTACCAGTTCAAATCCAGCCTTCCCTTACCCGCGGATAACACGTACGGCCTCGTGAAATTTGTTCACGGGTAAGTTATCTCGGGAATCATGGAGTCCAGGAGGCTGAAATTTTACGGTAATGACCCCCTGCCCACGTTCAACCTTGCCCATTCAATTTCAGCGTTCTCGTGCTCTCGGGTACCACCTATGCCCTAGTGAAAATTTTGGCGGGTAAACTATTAACTCGGGGATCACGGAAAGATATTCACCCTTCAAGGTTTCGAATTCAGCTTTCATACGCAGGTGCGTGGAATTTTTAACTGTTTTCCAATGTTTGAACTATTTTTGCACAGACTAAAGTATAAAGCAGTGAAAATCATTAATAGGCAATCGTTCAATGGGCTGAATTGCACAAAACGCATGATCGCA